TTAAACGACGCGATTGCAGCTTATCGATAATTATCCGGCTAACCGTTGGATAAAGAGTAAATAAATATAATAGCATACAAATAAAATAAATTGCGACTGCGAATTAAGGTTAATTGGTTAGTGTGTGTGTGTGCGCGCGTATATATACACATACATATACATATATGTATTTAACAGAGTTGAAGCTGAGCAATTACTCAATTGTGTAATGTCCACCAGATGCGCAATCTCGTTGCCAAACGGCTGGCCGTCTACAACAACATTTATGTGATTTATTGGAGCTGCGCCAAAGCAACAACAACTGCAGCATTGAACTGCATTAGACGGTAGAATTTCGAGCAGCCAGGTGAGAACGTAACACCTGCTCGCAATTTATCGCACAGACACAAAGACTCGGCCCTAAGTACACACAACTGAAGTGTATTCTGGCCGGCAGCTATATAGATAGGATAACAGCCTTAATTGGGGCATCAAATCGTTACGTAACTAAAAAAAATCCGACGCAGTTCAAAAGGCCAACAACATGTCGGAGAAATTATGTGAGTTTTTGGCTAAGAAAATTACCTTCAGCCGCCTTTGTAAACACTTTCCTATTGCAGCAATTATCGATGTGAACCGGTTGTTCGATCTGCAGACGTTTACGGGTCGCTTTAAGTACTATGCCTGGATGACGGATCCACGCACGGTAGTTGTGTCCAACGAGCGCCTGCTGCAGGCCAAGCAAATGGTGGACAACTATCGGGCTGGCAAACAGAAGGATAATCTGAATCCCGAAGAAGTGAAATACAATTTGAAGCTGTATTATTCGGCGTTCCATCCGGATACAGGGGAGCTGCAGAACTTTGCCGGCCGGATGAGTTTTCAGGCAAGTCGCGTGTCAGTCAGCTGCAGTCTCTCTCTACAGTTATATATAGCCAAATGCTGACGTCATTTGTGCAAGTTTCTTTGCCAACTGATGCTGTGATGTTTCTTTTGTTTAGGTACCCGGTGGCATGCTGATTACGGGCGGCATGTTGGCCTTCTATCGCACCGTGTCCGCCGTGGTGCTCTGGCAGTTCCTCAATCAGTCCTTCAATGCGGTCGTCAACTATACGAATCGTAATGCCAACTCGCCCACCAGTGTTACGCAGCTGGGCCTGTCCTTTGTCTCGGCCACGACCGCGGCATTAGTTGCCGCCATTGGATGCAAGAATTACTGGTCGAAGAATGCGTCGCCGTTTCTGCAGCGGTATGTGCCTTTTGCGGCTGTGGCGGCAGCGAATTGTGTCAATATACCCTTTATGCGCCAGAACGAGATTATCAATGGCATTGAGGTGAAGAATGCCGACGGCGAGGTTGTCGGCCAGAGTCGCCTGGCTGCCATTAAAGGCATCAGCGAGGTGACCATATCGAGAATCACAATGGCAGCGCCGGGCATGTTGTTGCTGCCCGTCATAATGCAGCGACTGGAAAAGCTGCCCGCATACAGGCGCATCAAATGGATCAATGCACCCTTCCAAACGCTCATGGTGGGCTGCTTGTAAGTGACTCGCACGACGTGCCCTTAATTAAAGTTGTGCAAACTAATGTTGCTTTGTCAATTGCAGCCTCTGTTTCATGGTGCCCACGGCCTGTGCGATTTTTCCGCAACAATGCAGTCTGAACACCTCCACAATGCGCACCTTTGAGCCGGAGCTCTATAAGGATATGGTCCAGCGTACTGGGGACAAAGTGCCCAATCGTGTCTACTTCAACAAGGGCCTGTAAGAAGGATCTGGCAATCGTCAGCTCGACGCTTAGACAATAAAATGTTAATTTTAGCTTGTCATCATCGTTTGGGCATTTATAGAAACGCGCAACGTATTGTTCCTTTTTCTAAGTCACATCAAGTATATATCAAATTATGAGTTCCCTGTTCGTTTCAAAATTCTATGTTTTTTGACAGTGTGAATTTGTATTAATGTGTAATTTGCAAAAACCGTTTTCTACATGATTTTCTACTCAGTTTATATTAAAGTATTATAATATATCATTCGAAAACTAATAAAAGCCATTGCAAATACCTTAAATATTAAATGTTGAACAAATAAAAAATCGATTTAAAAATTAATTCAAATTTAAATTGATTAAAACATCGCTTGAGCTGCGGGCTTATAAACGGTTTTATTAGGTATATGGTGTATATATAGTTAAAGATATATATATATATATATATATATATATGTCTGTATATATCCCCATATATATATCGTAATTAGCAAATTTGCGCGGATTCTTTTTTATTTTGTTTTGTTATTGGATTGTGTTGTAAAATTTACAAAATGTGCAAAACACAACTAGTTAGATTATTTTCGATTTGATTCTTGGTTAATTACGTGGAGACTTTCGTATTTATTGTTCGACTATTTATCGGGCATTTACTCATAGTTTGTGCTCTTTTACTACAACAAATGTTCGAAAGGTATTTTCGCCATATTGCGTTTAAATTTATAATTTAAATATCTTTTTTGTTTTCGCTTTTTTCTTTTTTTTTTTGTGGACATTTTCAAGGTACAGTTTGAATTGATTTTTATAGTTATTTGTTTTAAAATGTTGGCACTGTCGCAAAATACTAAACATTGATGAAAAATTCAACACTCAGATGTACAATATGTAAAATTGTGTGTTTCATAACTTTAAAAACTAACTCTCGCTCAGCTGTCGAGTCCTCAAACTTTTGGAGAACTCTTTAACAAACGCGCTGCCTGGCAGCCAATTTCGATTTTATATATTTGTCGCATATATAATTTCTTTTTTATTTTTTTTGTGTGTGTTTTTTTTTAAATTTATTTTATTTATCGTGAGTGCCGTTTAATCAGCAAACATTTAATTATATTTATCAATAATTATTAACTTTGCAAAATTGTCGACACAAGAAAATAACCTTTTGGGACTTTAAAATGTATTTTTTTTAAATTGTTTTCGTTTTTTTTTTTTTTTTGCCATTATTTTGTTTTGTTATTTATTTACTGACTGAGGCATTCAACAATTAAATGGCTTGGATTGCGCTTAAAAATTATTGCAAATTTCATTATTAAATTGGTTTATGTATTTTTGTTGGGCCTTGTCCCAATATCGTATGCTATATACGGCAAACTATGTGCACTCTTTCAACTTACAGTGGAGGAACTCTTTCCGTCTTAGCTGCCTTTGCAAAGTCCATTTAAGGACTTTAACATGCTTCACTTTTTTAATTTAAATATCAGCCTGTTTTGTCATGAACTTTCTAAGGAATCTGCTAAGTGAATGTTTTGAATTCGTTCGCTTATAGATCTACAGATCTATAGATCATGCATTTGCACAGAATCAATAGTACAATTCAAATAGTTCCTTTAAAACAGAACTATATTTCATATGTATCATATAACGCCTTGTCCTTGCTCTGTTAGCATAACAGCTCCTTAACAGCTCTTTAACATAACAGACAGCTCTCCATAAAAGCGTGCCAGCGTATATGAATTAACTTTAACAGATTCGAGGTGTTTCCAGCTCGCCAGATTCCTGAACTTACCAATACTTTACTTTTTTTTTCTTTTGCCAACTGATGCGCATTTTATTTTTAAGAATTTTTATGTTTCTTTCGGCATTTCAAACATGTACGCAATCATTTCAATTTCAATTACCCAATTATAAGTAACAAAACCTGTCTCGGCATAGGCCGAACTTTAGCTGTATTCTCTATCTTTTGCCATATATGCATATGGCTAAACAGTTTTTCGTTTCATTTGCACTTAGTTTAATGGATTTGTTTCCTTTAAAACCACATATATATTTTATATGTGTTGTGTCTTGTTTTATATATTGCGCACAGCCTTTTTACTCGAAATATTTCAGGTTTTTTTTTCCATCTTTTTCTTTTCTTTGAGTGTTTCACATGTGTATATTTATTGTTCGTATATATAAATATTTATTTGTGTTATGGATTATGTTTGTAAACCGTTCTTCGCGTTGACGCCACCTGATCATATTTTGTACCAACATTGCCAGACTGTCTATAACTAGCTATATAGGCATATATAACTAGCATATAGTTCATGCACATAAGAATCCTTTGCCTTTCGACTTCTGAGTTCGTTCTTCGACTTTTGCACATTTCAGCGTATTTAGAATATCATTTTCAATTTGTTGTCTTGTTTAAAAACTCTTAAAAGCTAGTTGAAAATTAAAAAAAAAAAAAAGAGCCACACACACCGTTAATTAGGCCTGCCTGGCGGCTCTTTAGCTTATTTTAATTCAGTTAATACTTTTTTTTGTTTTCTTTTTTTGGGTGGAGGGCTGCCAAATCCCGCCCCTAAAACCTTAGCAAAAATAACCAAGCCCAACAACAATAAGTTGCTGCTATTTTGTTGTTGTTGCTGTTTTTGGTATTTGTTGCTTTTAGCAAAAAAAAATATTAGTTTTCTTTTTAGTTTATTTCTCATTTTAGTGTTTAATTTTTTGCTTGCAATTTTTCGATTCATTGCCAAATTCAAATTCTGTTTTTTTTTTTTTTTTTTTTTGTAACATTTGACCTTGCTTTCCGTATTTGTATTATAGAATATATTTTATAAATTGTATTCTTATTTGCGTGTATATAACAATTATACATTTATGTAATTTATATACGTTTGTTTTAAAATTTAAAAAAAAAACCATGCGCATAGAAACAGATTTTTGTTGTTGTTTAAGTTTAAACTTTATAAATAACGCGTTTCGTGTTCTTCTTTTTATTATGATTAAGTTATTTTTTTTTTATATTCAACTTGTTTTGACTTGGCTTACGAGTTAAATACAAACATGTACATAAGGTTTTTTTAATATATAGAAGTATGTATACATTATATATAAATATATTTTATATATGTTATTTTAGTGTGAATGATTTTCAAATCTTTTCGTTTTCTTCATATTTTTGTAGCTTTTCAACATTTTTGTATTTGTTTTGTTTTCTTTCTTTCTTTTTTTCTTTTTTGTTAGACTTACAAAATTAACTAGAAATTATATTTTATTATTATAATTATATTATATTTTATTTTTCATAGATAAGTGTGTGTGTTTCTTTTCTTTATTAGGTCTGTGTGTATTCGACAACCAAAGTAGGAAAATGAGTTTTGCTTCTACTTGTCCGCATCCAGAAACTACGGCTACTCGCTGTTGGAATCCACAGCGCTGGCAGGCACCAGCTCAACAACTGAAACAGCCTCGGCTGTGGTCGTAGTCGAGGTGGATGAACTGGTGGTGCTGGCTGGTGACATGTTGTCCGCATTGCTGGATATCAGGCCCATGGGTGGCGGCGAATTGGCCGCTGCCGCAGATGCTGTTGTTGAATCCTGACATTGACTGGGCGGCAGAACAAAACTCTTTCCCACACACTGATCTCATTTGAGACCCGTATCCGACGATGGCGTCCAGCGATCGAACTCAATGCCCGAATCGGGCGAGACGCCGGTCGCCTTGGCCAGATGCGCGGCCATAAAGCCGCCCGTTTGCATGCACTTGCAGTCGGGGGCAATGCAATTGCATGAGAACTTTGAGCCACGACCGCAGCGTGCAACCAGGCTGGGATTGGCAGTCAGCGCCGTGGCCGAGGAGCAGCCAGCGGTTGGTCCAATGATATTGACGCTGCCGCCCTCATCCATGGCCTGGCCATCGCAGGGACTCAGACGGAGCTGGCTCTCAAAGGATTGCAGCTGCTGCATGAAGTGGAAATTCGGCGAGACGTCCGGCTTGCGGGCGCGGACCAGCATGAAGGCATCATTCAGACTGAGCGCCCTCGTGTGCATCAAATAGGCGAGCGTCACCGTTACTGAGCGTGAGACACCCGCCAGGCAGTGGACCAGCACCGCCGAATTAGCAGAGCGCGCTTCCTCTGTAAACAAGTTGGGAATTATAAGCATAAAAAAATCGTAAAATTTATGCATATTTATGTACGCACCTATAAAATGTATGGCAGCTGGAAAATGCATGGCCAGATCCTGGGAATAGTGATCGGTTATAGGTATTTGCAGATACTTGATAATGCCCGATTCCTCAAACTCATTCGGCAAATCTGGTGTCACATTCAACACGTACTGAAACGCAAATCAAAATTACTTAAAATGTTAGATCTGATGGGCTTTATTGAACCTACCTTAATGTTGTACTTTTGCAAAGCATTCGAATCGCAGCTGTGGGAGGCATTGCCTAGAAAGAGACCGGGTATTATCTCCACGGGCGCTTCATTGAAATTATGATGGTGATGATGATGATGGTGTGTGGTGCTCTCACAGTCCGAGGATTCGGCCGAGCTGCTGCACGCCGAATCGGAATGTGGCGTGGAAATGCGTAGCGATCTGAAAACAATTTTAAGTTTATTATTAGTAAGTTCTTTTTCTGAACCGCTTGATCCGTAGGCATTACTTGAATTGATGAGAATCGCAGAGAAAGGTGAATTTTAACCTTTATTTAATGAATATTTCTTGTATCATTAAAAATTAATTAGGATATGGTAATACCAGAATAATAAAATGAAATAATTATTATATTTATTGATCTTTCTTATTGGTGTATCAATATTCAAAGTTAGACGAAAATATAGAGAGATCGGGCGCGAAGCCGACATATAACTTGCTTTTCGGCAGATGCGAAAATTTTCTTTAACATAGTATTCAACTTTGCAAAAACCAAAGACTTAGCTGATTTTAATTAGTTACTAATTTTATCATTAATCTTTTAACTTTGATGCTTATTAGTTTTTTCTTTTTTTGAAAATGTTCTTAATAATTAAACTAAGCACCCATTCTTTAGTTGAAACTTACCTAAGACCCATCAGTTGATCGGCCTGTGCATTGCGACTAGATTCCATTTCTTTGTTGTGCGCCTGGTTATCGTCCTCACACCACTCCGGAAATGCTTGGCGAAAACTGGAGAAGCCATCTGAAACCAAAGTGAGAGAGAAATATAAATATGAAACTTTAGATACATATGCAAAATATAGATACAGCTACAAATGGAAACAACTTTAGTATGCTTTTGAACTATGCGCAACGTTTGTGTCGTGTTTTGTTTGGCTTTTGTATGCTTGAAAAATATTTCGTTATGCTTAGCCAAGTGTGTCCTTTTGGTCGATGGGTAAGGTAAGACAACACCTATTGTACCTCAGATCTGCCCCTTTGCCACACCAAATACTAGACCCATCTGCGGGTGCGCTGAAGCGTGCGTGAAATTCTTGCAGTTCGAGTGGCTCATTCATAAAATACGACTTTCATTGGGCGTCGTCGGCGTCGTTGTTTTTATTCCAATTAGAAACGGAAGTGGCTGCCATACGAGACGCAAAGCGACGCGACGTAAAGGAAAATCGCGGCAAAACGGAAATGCTCTTTCTATATTTATGCACGAGCTTGCAGGCCGGCAAGCTGTTCGCTGGCGCTGGGCACACAATATGATGACTGCGAATTGTCATAACAAAAAACGGAAGCTTACAATTTCCTACTTGGCGCATTATAAATGCGATTCCGCATTTGAAATTGAGCACCAGCAAAGAAGCCACAGCAAATAACAACCACAAAGCTATCAGCCAATGGGCCAACGGGCTGTATACGCTATCAAGTAGCCCGCGTTGCCTTTAAAAATAGCCCAAACATGCGGGTCTAAAGCAGAGAGAAGGAGAGAGCGGGCCGTAAAGGGCACGGGCACCCGCACAAATATGTCCAAAGTACTTCAAGTTGCGGCTCCAGGCGGGTCGGAGCCATGGCAAAACTCAAAACTGCATTTCATAGCAATTTCCGTTGCAAATAGCAAAGCGTTAGCCACGCCAAGCCGAAGTTGAAATACCCTTGTAAACCTTGGCATACATGTGCTTTTATGGATTAATTTCCAACCTCTTGTTTCTATGGGTGCTTTACGATATAGAACTTGGATTTGATATGATTTTTACGATATAGAACTTCGATTTGATATGATTTTGAAGATATTTGAAGTGAAGATAGAACTTATCTGTCCATTCAAAAAATACTTTTGTAACATCGCAACTATTAGATGCAAAATATCTATGTATCTATATCTGATTTTTAATTTGTATCTGTATCTGAATCTGTCTATGTCTATATCTGTATCTATATCTATATCTATATCTATATCTATATCTATATCTATATCTATATCTATATCTATATCTATATCTATATCTATATCTATATCTATATCTATATCTATATCTATATCTATATCTATATCTATATCTATATCTATATCTATATCTATATCTATATCTATATCTATATCTATATCTATATCTATATCTATATCTATATCTATATCTATATCTATATCTATATCTATATCTATATCTATATCTATATCTATATCTATATCTATATCTATATCTATATCTATATCTATATCTATCTATATCTATATCTATATCTATATCTATATCTATATCTATATCTATATCTATATCTATATCTATATCTATATCTATATATCTATATCTATATCTATATCTAGCACTAAGCAATAAAAACCGACTGACATGCAAGAAGCAATACGTGCAATTTTGAACCTTCTTCGTAAAAACTATCTCTTACTATTATCAAAAAGTTAGTTATTTAAATTTTATTTATTCAATTGTGGCTGCGAAAATGAAAATATCTCTGAGCCACTTTCAGTTCAGCTGAAGGCTCACTGAGCATTTAGGGTTCAAACTCCATTAAAAATTGAAAATATTTGTGTCAGAAGTCAAAATATCTAAAATGAGAGGTTAAAACCTGATCAAAATGTTATTAGAATGTGGAGTCTTGGAAAGGGCATTCAGTTGTTTGCTTGGCCGGCTTGCATGTCGTTGCCATATTTCAGTTTGGCCGTGTTGAGTGCTTTCTGCACACATGTTGTGACCACTCCACATAAAATATGTGCTGACAATAGAAATTTTATAAATAGAAATTTATTTGATATTCAATTGTTTCTTCGCTTTGTTGTTTTGCTGTTTGCCATAATTTTGCGCGTGTTGCGCTTCCTGTTTTGCTCCATGAGAGTCGAAACGGACGGACGGACGGACGGGTGGGCGGACGGACGTACGTGTCCGGTGACACGGTTCGACGGATTGGCGTTCCACTAAAGGGCACACTTTGAGTGCAGTGCGTCATCCGCCTGGGATGAGGGCGCAACCCAACCGCAGAGCCAATTGTGCGGCAAATTAATTAGCCTAGCTCCCAAATTGTACACATGTGTTAGCTAGCCTAGCCCCGCATAAGGGTAGTCCGAAACGAAGCCCAGCCACAGCCAAACTGGAAACCAAGTCGACCGCTTGTCTAACTGTGTTTGCGCGACAGAAGCTCGCCTACGTCATTTCCGCTCTCATGGCCAGGGGAATGGCGGCATTGGGGAGTAATAACTAGGTAAATGTGAATGGAATGAATAGACAGCTCCAATGATTACGTGGGCGTGGGCGTGTGTGTGTGTGTGTGTGTGTATCCGTGTGTGCGTTTCTGTATCTCAAGTTAAAGCAGCGGCAAATTGAGCTAAAAGTTACTTAACTCACGTTTTAATACCCTGCGCACAAGTGTTTGCCTGGGATCTACGCAACAATAACAAACTCTTCCGAAAGAAATTTGAAAAAAAAAAACCTATCAGAAAGTTGTTAAATTTTACTCGAAAATAAAGCGAATCCACCAAAAAATTGTATATATTACAATCTGGATGAATCGCTTTCCTCTCTTAAGTTTTATTTTTAGAAACCTGCTTTTTGTCAATCATGTATAAAGGTTTCTATTTATGCCTTGGTTTGTCAAACATTTTCAATATTTTTATAAAAAATATTCAATTTAGTTACGGGCCTAATTTGATTTATACTCAAATATAATAAATCAGCTGTTTGATAAGCTTTGAAGATGTCTTCCTCGAAAGTTCCTTTTATATAGAACCAACCCACTTTTAAAATATCATTCGGTTCGGTTTGTTCCATTTGTTCTTTTGGACAATTTGCTTGATTTAATGAAATTGAAATTCCCATTTCCATTTTATCAATCTGTTATCTATCTTTCTTTAATATTCTCTACTTCAACAACTGTTTACAGGGAATTGCGTAGTCAGTACAAAAATGGTTTGGCTTTGGTTAATAGTAAAAAGTAAATTGGAGTTTATTTTTTTCTTTTCTTTTTTTAATATTAACAGCAGCTTCAACAACTGTTTACAGGGCATTGCGTAGTCGGTACGAAAATGGTAAAAATGGTTTTGTTCACTTTGTTAAATTATGTATTTATTTTATAACTCACGCTCACATCGCAGGCAAATAGGCGCGATAGATAAGCCGCGCGCCTGGCAAAAAGACAATATAAAATAATATTTTACAAAATAAAAGCGATAAAATTATAAAAAAAACAAATAAGCGACAATGGCAATTGTGGCGAAAACAATGAATGGAAAAGTTAACCCACAGAAACAGATAAAACCAAGTAGAGGCTGCAGCACGCACAGATACCCTGTAATCGGATGTGTAATGCCACGCATAAATCCTATTCAATTCAAAGTTTTAACACGTTTGGGATCTCAGGCGGGCATGCCCTACTTCACACATTTGTTGCAGACAGGGTATTGAAGCGAACAAATGCGACGACTTTTTGCGGCAGTTGTAAAAACTTGCATGTATTATTTATAATGTTATTTCGGCTTTGTTGTTATTGCCTTAATAAATAAATAATCCAAATATTGCGCTTAGCATGACAAGCACATCCCGTGGGCGGTGGCTGCAAATATTCCAAAGCCCAAACTCATTCGCCATGGGTGGCTGTTCCGAGTGTGTGTGTGTGCGTGCGAGTGTCTGTGTGTGTGTGTGAGGAACCAGGTGTCTCATAGAGGGAGTTGTAAGCTTAGCTGACCGCGGCCAGTTGCGGGGCGAGGGCAAAGCTTTAGTTCAAATCCGGTTTTAAAGACCACAATAGGAATGACAATAAATAGGCGATATGTATGTATTTGAAGTAGTTTGCGCTTCTCGCTCGGCTCACAAATTGTTAGTGTCATTTGTTGCTGTTTTTTTTTTGTTTTTATTGTTTTCGTTTTCTGTTTGTTATTTGTCTCTGTATTTGTTGTTCTTTTTTTTTAAGTTTACATTTTTCACGTTTTGAAGGTCGTTTCCACTGTACGCGATTCTTGTCATTGTTATTGTTGCTGTGATTATTGTGTGAACTCATCAATGAAACAATACAGAGAACCCGACACACACACACACACACACACATATGTGCATATATGGTGTGTGCACAACACACACACACACGCACACGCACACATTTGTAGCAATACTTTAAGGCAATAATGGCACAGGTGTGGTGGATTTGATAACCACAGATACATACAGACAGACAGACATACATACATACGCACATACATACATTATGAATTTAGACAAATGATATGAATGGTTGGCAGTAGAGACAATTGCAGAGTGCGATAAGAGATGACGACCTTTGAGCTATTCGCAACAGTTGTTTTCGGTTACAGTAAACGCTGGAAAATGGCGCTGCCTTGGGTGTACGAAATCATGAAAATCGCATAGAAAGGCAATAAAGAGAGAGAGAGAGAGAGAGAGAGAGAGAGAGACGAGACAAGTTAGAATGCAAAGGGGACATAACACAGACATAACACATTTTTAAGCGGTTGACATGTAGTCAAATAAGGCAATATAGCTGCACTTGTAGAATTTTATTGCGAGGAAATGAAATGCGTTTAACAGAATGTAGAGAGAGAGTGAGAGAGAAATAAAGAGCAAACGCGAACAAATGGAAGGGAGCCAAAACGTTGTATGAACCAACTGAGCTTATGAGAATTGTATAGAAAGGCATGAGAGGGAGCAAGAGCTAGATAGTTAAATTGCAAAGGAAATATAAAATCGCCTCTATGCGAGTTACATAGTTTCAAACAAGGCAATATACAAGATT